TCTTAAATGGATTCTGATCAGAAGTCACGCTCCCCTTGGAGTTCCTAGTGTAGCGTTGAAGCCACAATTTTGGTCTCACCATCAATATCATAAGGCCGTAGTCCACACATCCGCTTTTTCCTATCCTGATATAATTTTCGCATTTCCCTAATAAAACTAGAACATCCCACATCCTTGACTGTTTATGAACAGTAATCTAATCTAGGTCTACCTCTACTTCTTTTGGCTCCTGTTTCTACTTCTAATATGTCTCTAACTAACCCATCTATGTCCTACCAATGTACCTCGCCTATTTCTTATTGACTTCGTTAGTGACCTCTATTCTGCTATTCTTTCCAATGCCTCCTCATTATTCGCCTACATAGAGCACCACATTTCGAACGCTTTTAACCTTTTCTTCTCCGCCGCGCTCACCATTCATGTTTCGCACCCGTACAGCGCCGCGCTCCAGACATGCACCTTTAACAATCTTTTTCAAATTTCTAAATCAACCGTTCGCGCGCATAGAAGTGATTTCTTTTTGTTGAAAGCAACTTGACCGTGTGCTGCCCTTTGCTTTTTATCTCTACTACTTCTTCCATCCTACGTTATCACACTTTCTAGATACCAAAAATCAGCTACTTCTTCTAATTATTCGTCTGCTATCTTTATATTCGTTTTTCCTACTTTTTCTTCCCTTGCACCCTAGTGTTTTTGTTTTTCTTTTATTTATATTCATACAATACTGTTTTATCAATACCATTTTCCATTTTATTTAAGGCTATTTCTATCTCCTCCTTGCTATATGCTAATACTGCTATATCATCTGCAAATCTAAACAGTGTACATCCCTGACGCCCTTATTAGTATTTACTTCTCTACGTTGCTGAAGGCTTCTATCTCTGTATCTCATCCTTACATTTTCAAATATATTCAACTTCTTGTCCCGTGTAACACTATCAAAAGTTTTTTCTAAATCTAAACCTACATACGCGCTCTGTTACTGTAAAGCTAAAATGGCATACCGCATACCCCTATTTTTTCTTAACCCAAATTGCTCTTCCCCTAATGTTTCCTCCACTCTTTCTTTATTTTTCTCTGTACTGCCTTTTGGTGTCATAAAATTACAAAAAAAATTTGTTCTACATACTGCTTCTAAAGTAAATGTACTTTTCTCTTAACTTAAAAATCCAATCCTGAGCTAATCTTCGCATTTCCCTAAAACTAGAACAACCCATATCCTTAACTATTTGCTAACAGTAATCTAATCGAGGTCAATCTCTACTCTTCCTAACTCCCATTTCTATCTCTAATATGTCTCTGACTATACCTTCATGCTTCATGTCCTACTAACCTATCTCTCCTAATTCTTATTGACTTCCATAGAATCCTCTGTTCTCCTATTCTTTCTAATACCTCCTCATTTCTAACCTTCTCTATCCACGGTATCCTCACAATTCGCCAGTCACACCATATTTCGATCGCTTCTAACCTTTTCTTTTCCGCCGCGCCCACTGTCTATGTTTCGCACCCATACAGCGCCGCACTCCAAATATACACCTTTAGCAACCTTTTTCCAATTTCTAAATTAATCGTTCGCGAGCATAGAAGTAACTTCTTTTTATTGAAGGCGACACGACCCTGCGCTATCCTCTGCTTTATATCCCTACTACTCCTTCCATCCTGACTTATCTGACTTCCTAAGTATCTAAAATCAGCCACTTCTTCTAATATTTCGGGTCCTATCTTTATATCCTCTCTTTCCCTACTTTTTTTTCCCTTGCATACCAGTATTTTAGTTTTACTTTTATTTAATTTCATACAGTACTGTTTTGTCAATACCGCTTCCATTTTTTTAAAGCATCTAGCTAATACTGGTATATCATCTTCAAATCTAAGCAAACTTCTCCTGTACAATTCTAGTTAAGATTTTTGTCGCATGGGAAGCCCCGGTTTTTAAGTATGGTTACTACCATGTTCCGTTTATAATCATTAGGGACTTCTCTACGGACATACGATCTCTAACCTCTTGTCCTGCATGTTTTAGAATTTTCCCCTGTATTAAATTTTAGGTTTAAATTAAATTAGGTATTTTAGTTGATATTACAAATTAAACTGTAACAATTAAGAAACTTGAAAACTTTTTTAAGAAAACGTCAAATTTGAGATTATTGTAAGATACCTAATAAATTCGACTATTTCTACAACAAATTCAGTCATTTACAATCGAAAATTGTAATTTTTGCATTGTCATAAAAACTTAGTTTTCTCCGTGTAGACAAAGGCTTAAGGTAAACTATAATGTCCACCACTAAACTAACTTCTTTTTTAATACTTAATAAATAAAATGGAAATAAACACAAAAGTAGACTATTATTTACTTTATTGTACAAATAAGAAACGTATATTCACATTTATAACATTTTAAGTAGAAAATAAATTGATGAAGATACCCTAATAGGCGTTTCACGACAATTTAAAATATGTTGTGGATGAACCGTAAAAACTGTAACCTAAAAATGTAAAATCAAGACCAGTCCAATCCAGATTATTGTTTTATTAATTTTGTGCGATGACATGGGCAGTGGATGTAAAGCACTTTTATTACATATCCACTTATAAATAATAGAAATAGCTATCCATTGGAAATTCACTCCCTATTAAAACTTTAAGAACTTTCAACTCATTGTCAGTTACCCATTGGTCTTATTGAATTTTGTTATACTTTTGACAAATCCGTCGTAATTGATAAAACTTGCATATGTATCTGATAGATATTTTTATCAAATACAACGAAGTTAAGTTATCATTGTGTCTATTGATAAAATTGCATTTTTAGATTCCATCAGTTGAATTTAATAATATTGATTATTTTCCTGCATTAGATACACTAAACATTTGAATGTAAGTATTAAATTTTAAGGCAGACGAAGAAGTTTATGAAGTATTTTTAGAACACCTACATAAATTGAAAACTCTTTTGCGATGTTCCTCGGTTCTCAATCAATTTTCCGTGATAACTGAACCAGTTGGCTTAATGATTCAATTAGTGACTGATTTGAAACCACAATCAGCCTTTAAATGATGAGAACCCCAAAATTTTCAAAACAAGCCTATTTATTCAAAACGAAATTTTCTAATTGTAGTGCAACAAAGTCTAAGTGTAGGAACAGGATCGACGCTGCACTAGGTATTACAAGTAGAATGTATATAATATTATGCCTGATATCAAAGAAAATATTCGTAATGACTGTTTAATTTAATTTTATTAATAATTGTTTCGAAAACTTTCACGGTTAATTTACTTATAAATATTATTAATTTGGTAATTTGGCATTAAAAATTTTCTGCACCCTTACTCAACAATTAGCACCTAAACTGAAAATCAAAAAACAAAACAAACTCGTCAAACTTTTTCAAACGGGTAACTTGATAATGCGATATTATTCAAAATTTCAAAAACAAAATGCAATTATCTCAAAAACTACTAGCCACAGATACCAACACCCCTATATCAGTCGAAAGGAAATTAAATTTTGCATTAGACTACGCGAAAAAAAATATGGCATCCCGTTTAAAAAAAAGGTTATTCCTGTTTGAATTGGCACAGATAAATATCATACTATGTACGTGTGTATCTAATGCCTATACATAATAGGTAATTTCTTCCAGAAACGAAACCACAAACCTGTATGTCCTTTCGTTTCTGATATATTTAAAATGGCGCCAAACACTGCAAACGTCAAATTTTTCCAGAAACGTGAAATAACTCCGGTTCAAACACATTTTAATTTTAATACACTGACATTGTTTTTTTATGGGGAATTCAAAAATGCAATAAAAATTAGGGGATTCCATTTAAAATAACGAAGTTACTGTATATTTCCCGTATAACCGAAAGTCTGCCATATTTCAAAATATTTTTACGTTATTACACACTTAACTCTATATACCTAACTTTTATTTGAAATACTTTTCTCTACTTTGAAGTATACGAGTATGAATGACCGATTTCGGCTTAATGACTCACCTGTATAGATTATACAACAGTTTTATATTTAAAAAATAAGTAATTACTAAATAAATAATAAAAAATTTTTAATTTTTACTAGCAAGAATTACCCAATCCAAAAAATAAGTCATTCGCGCATGCGCATTATTGGGAACTATCTTTTTAATGCACACGAGCGAACACAGCATAGTAAAACAAAAACGACCACAAATATAAACTAAAGTATTTTTATCAATCATTGTTTAAGGAAATGTTTTTTAATGACTAAAAAAGTAGAAAGTCTGTAAACTGTAAACAATTACCTATTGTGTCGTTGAGATATCTACAAATATCCATAACACATTCAGAAATACATCTTAAACTTAGTGAGGTTTTCCATCTTTTTAAATTATTCGTTACAAACAATTAAAAAGCAGTAAAAAATCATATCTTTAAAAAGAATTAATACTTCACCATCTACCCTGTTCTGTTTCGTATTTTATCTAACTACAGTATCACTTAAAGTAAAATTAAGAATTACACAAAAAGCAGAAAAAGTACTACAAGTTTTACCGACTAAAACAACGTTTCGTCCTCTAAAAGACAGATCTTCTATCTTCAGATATTTTTCAGTTTGACACTTTTAAACAAATATACGAAGGAAGCTGGCGAGCGGCCGCGTAGATACTTGCCCATTTATGACTTATTTGGGTAAGTCACTTGGAACCGATACACAAATAAGCTTTCAGTAGGCGTAAATTATAGTATTAATACAGATAGGACAGTAACGTACTAGAAAATAATGTAGAAATATAACTTACCAAAAAGGAAAAATTAACCTATTGCTTTTGTTTTATAGTTAGTTTTCACATTCACTGTCATCATGGTATTCTCTATCACTGTCACCAACATCAAGAATTAGTTCTTCTGTTTGTCTGTCTATTACTTGCTCACTGATCCCTATTTTTAAATATTTAATCTACGCCCCTGATAGGAATACTGAAGAAAAAGGGCTGCAATCGTTATACCTAAAACTGCCTACTTTTGCCACCGCGCATCCACGCCATTTTAAAATTTCCGCCAGCTTCCAGCGTCAGGCCTGTACATAGTGTGAAAATACGTAAACTTACAGCAGTCCTGAAGTAGGATTACGTTTAGAGAGACGAAACTTTGAAAAATAAAAAATTTATAACTGTAATTTCAGTTTCGTAAAGTTAATAAGAAAATTCCAATATGTCTCTATTATTTGAAATACTCTTTAGTCAATAAATAAAATAGTTCTTTTAAACTTTTTTTAAGCCGTAACATTAGCGAAACCAGATCAAAACGTTTAGTCTATCCATCCATCAATGCATATAAAAAATCATGGAGGACAAGTTTCTTTTGTTTTCTCATAACCAACTTCGGTTAACTTCTCGGCAGATGCAGAGACCTAAATTAACACCAAACAACAAAAAAATACTTTCAAAGAATTTAAAAACCTTACCACTTCCGAGCTATTTTGCAATGTTCCCCAGCGTTTCTCCAGCCTCCTTGCCAAAGGAGGAACAAAAAGATTCGGATCCATCTGGACTTCCTTCCTCCCGCGAACACAATAAATGATATAACTAACAAAAATACCGACTACCATGGTAGCTATGAGACCCACAACGCCATTGTAAAGGTACGAGATTCTGTACAACCAGAAGTAATCACTACGAAAAAATATTTTGTTAATATTCTTATTAGACTGCGGGTCAAATATTTGTTACCTATTTCCACTGTTGCGAGCTATGTGAAGAGTTGGTTGAGAACTTGTTGTTAAGAAGGTAGTTGCATTTACACAACCTTCTATGGACACCGGCAGTCTTTCAGGAGTAGGTCTTGGAGTTCCAAACCCGGACCACAGGGCCACACCTAAGCCTGTCACAAGCCCCACTACAGCACCCTAAAGTGAATTTAAATATGGTAGGTGCCATTTAAAAAAACGAAGTTATTCGTCTTCAAAAGTTTCTAAACTTTAGATTTCTTTTTTGAAGGCCCAGTACATATTAGGAGGCTCAATTTTGGTTTAATATTAGCCATAAGACGCAACTATGACTGGTAAAAATTTCAAGGCTCTAAGTCATTGTTTGTAGAAGTTATGATTTTAATAATAATAATTAATATAATTTGGGTTCGGATAGCGATTTTTTTTCTATAAATTAATTTATCTCAGAAACTTATCGTAGGCATACAAGTTGGTTATAAAAGTTTAAAATTTTGTGTTTCGTACGAATTCGTCGTAATATATATATATAACCGGAAGCGGCCGTCAGTTGAAAGTATTTTGGTTAAAAATATCATCCTCAATAATCCCAACTGCCAAATTTTTAAATCTCTTACACGCTTAGTTTTTCTAAAACGTCTAATGTATCATTCACAATCAGTTTGAAAAACCATGTTTAAGAATGTACTCTAAGTTGAGTCATGACCAAAAATCAGTTTTATATTAGATATTACTTTCTAAAAGCTTCCATGATCCAAGCCGTTGAAAAAAAATTAGGTGCATACGTATTACGCGATTAGCTTATTAGACATATTGAAAAATTGACCAAACAAAATTGGTCTATGTTCTTTCAATTGATCCCAGGTATCATTAACATAATGATTTTCATCACTGTTTGTGTTAGCTTCTTGCCGCCGTAACTTGTGATAAGGATTCCAAAATTTTGGCTTTAAGATATTAGTAACTTAATTTTTATAAGAATCAATGCCAAAATGGGAATAAAAATAGTTTTTGTAGTAAGGCTTCCTACAATGTACAATTTACATTACTATTTTCTAAATATAAATGCTCGAAATGATCAGATATAAAAATATTCGAATAAATTAGGAAATACTTTTCATTTGTTTTCTAATAAATCCCTTAATACTTACTGGTTCGTTGGCATGCGTAGTAAACATCCCTAAAGAAAACAGACCTAACAGGGGTCCACCAACTACCCCAAAAATCGTCAATGCCGCTTGTAACAAATTCCCCATATACTGTGCAACGAATGCCAATACTATAAACAAACCCCCAGCAACCACCGCCAATACTTTTGTTAAAACGGCTGATTTTTTCTCTGAAAGGGGTTTACCATACAATTTTAAATGTATCGGCTGTAAATAAAAAATTACTTTTTTTTATCTAAGCTATTATTTATTTTTTTCGTAAATAACCTTCCAATAGTCTTCCACCGTAATCGCAGCTAAGCTGTTAACCCCCGCTGATATGGTGGATAATGAAGCACTGAAAATACCGGCCACAAAAAGACCACTAATTCCAGGAACTGTACCCATTGTCTCCACGACATAGTAAGGCATTAACTACAAATTCAAATATTTTTTTTTTAGTTATACTATTAAAAAAAGCCTTGGTTTTTGTAAGGATTGTAATACACCACTAATTAACATTATCTATGCGTATGACTATTATGTTAGGAGCAAAGACTGAAATGGGAGAAAAAATCGACCACAAGGCTTTGTGACTTTTCAGGTTCATCCACAATGTTATAATTGACAAGTCGTGACACAAAAACGAACGCAATATACTTCGAAAAATGTAAAAAGGTGAGATCACAAATTGAGATGTAAATCCAATGTATTAGTGAATTAATTTTTTAATTAACTTTACCTACTACAGATAACCTGTTCTCTTACTCATTCTAATCATCAATATGATAAATTATGTGACGCAAAACAGGAAACGCTAGCCCACTTCATGAATGAATACAAAAGTGAAAGGCCAGATCAAAATATGAGAGAGATAATTATTGAAAAATTAAGAGACGAAATTTGCGGGAAAACTTAAGTTTTTAAAAAAATAGAGGCAAGGATAAGTGAGAAAGTATGTCTAAACACAATATAATGTTTTAATTTAACAGTTAGAGTAGTGATAAGCAAAATTGGTCTTGCGAAAATGCAGGACCAAAACCAAAACCAAAACTGTCTTTATATTAGCAAAACCAAAACTAATTTTAGTATCCAAAATTTTCAGTTTGCTTTACTACATATTAACACTAAACATGGGCGTACCCGGGGGGGGGGCTGGGGAGGGCAGCTGCCCCCCCCCTGGAAATCTCGCAGAAAATGTATGCACTCGCCTAATCACTAACCAAAGTGTAAACGGGGCCTTATATGTTACTTTTGAATAAAGCGCGCAGTATATAGACACGGTGCAATTGCCATAAAAAAACATTATTTAACTACCTATAAAGCAAGATCATTTGCGGCTGTTTGCCCTACCTAATGTTTCACGTAGGTGCTTTTGTGTAGTGTGTATGACAAAACAGCTGCGGACGATTTAACCTAAAAAAATCTGACTTGCCTCCCCCTAGGTCAGAAGCTGGGTACGCCCATGACACTAAATATATAAAAGAAACAAACTTTACCATTGTTTGAAAAAAGGGAGTGAGAAACAGAAGTTTGAAAGTTTTAGTTTTAAGCGAATTTTTGTTAAAAGTTATGTAAGGTAAAATAAATCTAAAAGGAACAATTTCCAAAAACCTGTAAGGCATGTAAAGGAATAAAGTATTATTATTATTATTATTATTCATGGTATTCTCTATC